GGGGGGGGGGGGGGGAGCTCCCCCGGGACGCCCTCCCGCTTCTCCTGCCTGCACCTGCGGCCGCCGGGCAGACGGCGCTGGCAGGCGCAGGTGCAGGCGGGGATGTTCGGGGGGGAGTTCGAAGCGGGGACCCGGGGCTCCCCCGGGGGCGACGGGCAGCGGCTGGCGGGAGAGAGGAAGCGCTTTGTGGCCGTGCGGGGCCGCGGCGGGGGAGGGGGTGAAAGGGCCTTTGATAAAGTCTCTGCTCCGCCGCCCTGCCTGGCGGTGGTGGAGGGGGATAAAAGATAAAATGTTTCCCAATTAGGACATTACATGGGGGATTTTTTTGGGGGGTGAAAGAATTGGTAAAAGGGGAGGGGAAATTGGGAAGTAGAGGGGAAAAAAAAAAAGGGGAAATAGGGAAAAGAATTGGGAAAAGGGAAAAAAAATGGAAAATGAAAAGAGAAAAGAAATAGAAAAATAAAATTAAAAGGGATAAAAAAAATTCCAGCAATTAAAAGTAATGATAAAAATTGAAAGTAATTAGTAAAGACAAGAGGAGGTGGAGGCTGGTGCAGGAAGGAAGAGCCCCGGCGCGCCCCGGCAGCCCCCTCCCCCCCCCCCAGCCGCCCTGCGGGACAGAAAACCCTTTGTGGGTGGGGGCCGGGGCGGGGGGGTCCTGGGCTGCTGGTGGGGGTTGGCCTGGCCCCACGTCCCTCTGCAGCTCCTGTGAAACTCCTCTGGAGGAGGGCAGTGGGGGGGGGACAGTCAGCCAGCCAGCCAGCAGGCTGGCCCCCTGCCAGCCGCCTTCTCCCCCAGGGTCAGGGTGGCCCCCAGCCCCGTATCTGAGGATCCCCCCCACTTTGTGGGGCAGGTCTGGGGCTCCGTTCCCTGCCCACGTGCTCCAGCTTGCCCTGGGTGCGGCGTTTCCCACCCCCCCCGGCAGCTGGCAGGGACACCCCACCGGGAGGGATGCGGCCGGATCCTGCAGCTGTCTCCCCGGGGAGCTCCAGCTCCTTTTCCCCTCCGCCGCTGCTGCCTCACGCCCTGCTCTCCCCGGTGCAGGCATGGCTGCGGCTCTACGGCTACCTGCCACAGCCCAGCCCGCAGATGTCCACCATGCACTCGGCTCAGACCTTCTCCTCTGCCCTCGCCGAGATGCAGAAGTTTTACGGCATCACCGTCACCGGCATCCTGGACGAGGAGACGAAGGCGTGAGTTTCTCCGCGTCCTCTTGCTCTAGCAGAATGCAGCTCCAGCTCTTGGGCTTTGCCTGCCAGCCCCAGAGCTCTGCCTGTACCTGGAAACGTGGGCACTGTCTCCCATGGGAGCTGTGTCTCCCTCTTTGGGGGCTGCACCCCCTGCAGCCAGGACACCTCCCTCGCCATCCGCGACTGCTCTAACTCGGGAACCTTGGCTGCAGTCGGCTGAGCCCTGGCTCCATGCCCTCCCGGCAGGTGGATGAAACGTCCCCGCTGCGGGGTCCCAGACCAGTTTGGGGCACGGATGAAGTCCAATATGCGGCGGAAGCGGTACGCGCTGATGGGGCGGCGCTGGAGCCAGAGCCATCTCACCTTCAGGTACCCACCACCTCCGGGGCTTCCCACCCCCTGGCCCATGGAGAGCCATGGACCCCCTTGGGGAGCGAGCACTGTCCCAGGCCATCCCCAGCAAGCTCTGTACCCCCAGCATCCAAAACTACACAGAGAAGCTGGGTCGGTACCACTCATATGAGGCTGTCCGCCGAGCTTTCCGGGTGTGGGAGGAAGCCACACCGCTGGCTTTCCGGGAGGTGGCCTACGAGGACATCCGGCAGAAGCGGAAGAAGGAGGCCGACATCATGGTGCTCTTTGCCTCTGGCTTCCACGGAGACAGCTCCCCCTTTGATGGTGTCGGGGGCTTTTTGGCTCATGCCTATTTTCCTGGCCCTGGAATGGGGGGAGACACGCATTTCGACTCAGATGAGCCCTGGACGCTGGAGAACACGGATGTGTCTGGTGAGTTGAGGGCCAAGGAGGTGGTGAAGGCAACCAGTGGAGCTTCTGGGTTTGAGGGCAGGGGGATGCACTGGTGCGGGCAGGGGTGGCAGGGAGAGCAGCTCCGCCATGGGTGATGCAGGCAGCTCCCACCAGAGCACCCTCATCGCAGGGTGCTGGAGCCAAGGACCTACCCTGTCTTGCTGATGTTGCCTCTTTCTACAGGGAACAACCTTTTCTTGGTGGCTGTTCATGAACTGGGGCACTCGCTGGGCTTGGAGCACTCCAGTAACCCCAGCGCTATCATGGCCCCCTTCTACCAGTGGATGGACACCGAGAACTTCCAGCTGCCCGAGGATGACCTCAAGGGCATCCAGCAGCTGTACGGTGAGGAGCCGGGTTAGGGATCAACCCAGAGGTGTGATGCTGTGCATGTGTGTGGGGAAACTGAGGCATGGGTGCTGCTGGTCTGCATCACCCCATCCCTTCTCACCCTCCCAATCCAGGTACCGCAGACGGGCACCCTCAGCCTACCAAGCCTTTGCCCACTGTGACACCTCGGAGACGTGGCAGGCCAGACCAGAGACCCCCTAAACCACCCTCCCCAGGGAAACCGGAGCGACCCCCCAAACCTGGCAGCCCACACCGACCTGACCAGTATGGCCCTGACATCTGCGACGGCAACTTTGACACAGTGGCGGTGCTGCGTGGGGAGATGTTTGTGTTCAAGGTACCTGCTGGGACCCCCTCCTGCCCATTCCCTGGGGATGTGGTGGGTCCCTGGGTGGAAAGACCCTCTGGCGAGATGTCTGGCACTGGGACTGTGTCCCTGTGTCCCCCCCATCCTCTGCCAACCCCCCCGTTTCCCACCAGGGCCAGTGGTTCTGGAGGGTCCGGCACAACCGGGTGCTGGACAACTACCCCATGCCCATCGGGCACTTCTGGCGGGGCCTCCCCGGGGACATCGATGCTGCCTATGAGAGGCACGACGGGAGGTTTGTCTTCTTTAAAGGTGAGCAGCAAAGCTGGGTGGGAGGGCTGAGGTGGAGGGGGAACCCCCCCCCAAGCTGCCGAGAGCTGGTTGGCTTCATCCCATCCTGATCCCCCTCCCCAGCTGGAGCCGCTGCCTGACTCCAAAGGGACAAGGTGGCCACAGGCATCATACCCCAATCCCTACCCACAGGTGTCCCTGCCACAGCAGCTGGGGCATGGCCACCTCACCCCCTTTTCTGTCCCCCTCCAGGTGACCGGTACTGGCTCTTCCGAGAAGCCAACCTGGAGCCCGGGTACCCACAGCCCCTGGTCACCTATGGGCAGGGCATCCCCTACGACAGCATCGACACAGCTGTCTGGTGGGAACCCACGGGGCACACCTTCTTCTTCCGTGGGGACAGGTAAGTGGCTCTGGGGTCCTCCTCCCTGCTCTGCCACCTCCTGGCCCATGGCAGGGGTGGGCTTGGCGAGCGGCAATGACCCCCATGTTCCTCACTGCCTCCCTCCCCCAGATACTGGCGCTTTAATGAAGACACCCGCTCGGTGGACCCCGGCTACCCGAAGCCTATCTCTGTCTGGGCAGGCATCCCTCCCTCACCCAAGGGTGCCTTCCTCAGCCAAGATGCCTGTAAGTAGAGGAAGAGAAGAGGGATGGGCAGGAGGGGGGGACCAGAGGGGATGGGGTCATCCCTCTGGTGGCGTAGCCACATGGGCTGGAGGCCAGGAGGGTGCTCAGGAGTCAGCATTGAAGCCCTTTTGAAGGATTTCACTAGTCCTGGAGCAAACCCTGCTGTCCTCAGTGCCTGCAGGGATTCCCAGGTTGTGGGGTGCCCTGCACCTGCCCGCTTATCCCTCACCTCCATCTTCTTCTTCCCCCCCCCCCCCAGCTTCCACCTACTTCTACAGAGGCACAAAGTACTGGAAATTTGACAATGAGCGGCTCAAGACAGAGCCAGGTTATCCCAAATCCATCCTACGGGACTTCATGGGCTGTTACACGGAGCTGGTCCCTGACCCTCATCCCCACTGGCCGGATGGGGACCAACCCCCCTTCAGCCCTGATGGGAATGGGCGGGCTGACAGCGAGGAGGAGGAAGAGGAGGAAGAGGAGGAAGATGAGGAGGATTACAGCGAGGGAGGCCACCAACCGGGTGGGGACGTGGATGTGGTGGTGCAGATCGATGAGTACACGCGCACCATGAGTGTCGTCATGGTGCTGGTGCTGCTGGTGCTGCTGCTCTGCATCCTTGGCCTCATCTACGTCATTGTCCAGATGCAGAAGAAGGGCACGCCCCGAATGCTCCTGTACTGCAAGCGCTCCTTGCAGGAGTGGGTCTGACCCTGGCTCCCTCCCCAACCCACCCCCACCACCATGGTGCTAACGATGAACCTGACCTCCCCCTCCCCTGTCCTTCCCCACTGCCTCGGCCCCTCTTGCCCCATTGTTGCTTGATGCCCCCAGCCCCCCCCAGAGCAGCTGGGCTGGGACCAGGGGATGGTTACAGTAGGCTGGAGGGCATCCAGGTCCTGCCTGCTCCCCCACAGCTGTGACCCTCAGGTTGCCACGCATCGTGTTGCACCTGCCTCTGCCATGGGGTCCCAGCAGGGTCCCTTCCTGCCCCCCGAACCTGCCGTGGCTTTGCCTGCATCACGTGGGGCGGTGAGCGGGTTGGGGGCTGCTCATAAGTGCCATGAGCTGGCAGGTCTCAGGTGCCAGCACCTGCAACGACAGGGAAGTGCGAGGGGAAGGGAGGGCCAAGCTCCCGGCCATGTTTCTGGTTGAACCACAGGGATACAGGGATGTGGTGCCTAAAGATAGCACGAGGGAGGAGACACCACCTTTGCAACATCACCACTACCACCCCACCACCACACCCCC